GGTTGGAGTTATTCATTTTATTAGTCACTATCCAAGGCTTTGAAAAGAGAAGTTCTGATGTTGAAGGAAATATAGCTCACTTGGGTTATGAGGCTTTTCTTTTGAGTACCCTTGCCCTGGATTTAGAAACAGGTGGGCCCTTGCAGGTTTTTTAGGTGTTTGGTGTGCTCTAATATGAGAGGAACGAGGGTAAGTAACCAAGATGAACTTCACACTCACACGGACTATTGCAGTCGCCTTCTAATCAGTCTCCTGCTTCCACTCTATTCCCCTCCAACCCTTTCTCCGTATGGTTGCCAGAGTGGGTCTCTTAAAATCAGATGTTGACATTTCATCAAAAGCAGATTTCCATTACACTGGGTGAAATCTCATTTCTTACTTAGGACTTCAGAGCTTGGTCTTGTACTCACATCTTCAAATGCATCTCTTGTCTCCTCTTTGTTGACTAAGCTCCAGCCATATTGGTTTCCTTTTAGCTTGTTTCTGCACCTGCAATGCTCCCTCTCATAATTCCCTCCTTCTTGTCCTTTGGGTCTCAGCCTAAATCATCTTCCTATAGAGGTTTTCCCTAATCACCATTTTAAAAGCAGAACCTCCTTAAGACATAAGAACTTTTGTTCTTTTCAATTCCTTGATTAGTGACTCATAACATGAACAGCCCTACCCCCCCAAACGCTTTAAATTTCCCCAGCCAGTCGTTTTTCTCTCCTAAGTAGACAGTAGTGATATCAATGGATAATTATTTTATTTGTTAAATTGTACAGTGCCTTTCTATCCCCCTATCCTGTGGCCAGAGCTTCCTATCATGAACTGGGTTCTGCCAGACCCATCCAGTCATAAGGTTGAGCAGGCCCAGGAAAAATCATCACTAAGTGAGAGTGGGATCAGGCTTGAGCAAGTTCAGGGAGTAGAAGTAAGTTACATAAAGCCTGTGTCATCTACCACTGACGCTGTCAAGCGGAACCCAGGTCCATGCTGATGCTATGCAGGATTTTGTGTCATTGACTCATTTACTTTGTAAACTCTCAGATTGTGATGCTGTCCTGCATCTTCTGGATGAGAAAGGCACATATCCAGAGAGATGGGATTCCATCGTAAGCGTCAGCATAGTACTTGGCAAATAGAAATCACTTAGTAAATCTTAGCTACACTGATACTTTCTCCATCACATGTAACTATCAAAATGGCCCCCTGCCCTGGAGTAGGTAGAATTGACTGACTCTATCTGTCCTCCCCGTCGGTGGTTGTTAATACATTTTTCTGCTGAGATTTTCCGACAGACAATGCCAGATAACATAATGGCGGAGTCGATGGTTTAAAATTGCCCACTGTATTTCCAACATAAGAAACAGAGCGCTCCCGCATGAAAAGGAGCCCGCGGTGTGGATCTCTTTTTCTTTTGTCTGCTCCAGAGTCACTACTGATGGGCTGCAGCCTGGATGTGGTTGATCAGGTGTGGAATGATAGAAAGATAAAATCTTGTAAAGGGGATTTATGGTTGTTAAATTAATTGAAATACTTCAGGATCTACAAATTCATATTCAGAGTCCAAACTATTTGGAAAATATATGAAAATCAGTGAAAAATTCTGGACTGTTTTCTTTGTGTGTTTGACTTTGGACATGGTTGGGGTGCTTTTGTGAAGAACTAACAAGGAGAGAGTCAGTGACTTGAGGGGACTGACCCAGAGTCTCTATCTCTGTACCTGTTGGACTGACTTTTAGCTTTATTTCTGGTCCCATGGAGAAGAATATTGATCATGTCTAAGAATATACAACACTAAATCAATGCTTTGTTAGTTCTTATTTAGTTAGTTTGTTAGTTCTATAGTTTCCCTGTAGAAACAGGGAGCATTAGGGTTGGAAGAGAGTATCCTGGCCAGCACTCCTAATTTGGCAGTTAGGGAAATTCAGGTTCAGAGAGGTTAGATGGTGGCCCAAATCTTAGGGGCGAGTTAGCAGAGGAATTGGGATTCAAAATAGGACTCTGGTCTCATCTTGTCACGTACTTCCTGTTGCATCAATGAAATGAACCTACTAGCTACTGTTCTTACTATATCCTGGAGGAACAGAAGCAGAGACTGGCAGAGACTAAATGAAAGGAAGCGGTGATGTGGGTCTTCTACCCAGCGTGTCACATCCCCACTCTTTTCACACTTGCACATTACTTCATGGTGGATGCACTGAAGCTTCATTTTTGATGCACAAGCTGTTGGGCCATCTTAGAGTGATGGTCTCTTGGCGTGTCTTAATTAAGATCCCTTGACGATAATCAAGATAATGTTATTAATAACCATAGCTAATATTTTTGGAATAATGATGAGACAGCTGTCTATAAATTGTACTTTTTAATCCTTCATGACAGCCACAGGAGGCGAACACTGTGATGATTCCATGGACAGGTAAGAAACCGAGGCATAGAGAGGTGAATAAGCTACCCAAGGTCACCCAGAGGGTAAATAATGAAGCTGGGATGTGAGTTCTGTTCTGTTGTCACTGGGTTTTACCAAGGGTTCAACATCACTACTTGCACCCAATCAGGAGCTAAAGGGAACCTGTAGGACACCTTGGGTCCCTAATGCCTTGTGTAATAATGGCCACCCCAAACACAAATGTGAACAGAAACATACACCCCCGTATGCAGTATGGTGTTAAGGGGTCCTTTACCTGCTCTGCCGTCTCTTGCTTTCTTACTGTTTTTGAAAATGAAAAAATCTGCACTTTTAAGAATAACTAAATGTAATGTGCAATAATTGATTCACTGATAGATTAAACAAAAAAGCAAAAAGAAAACCATAGTTTTAAGACATTATTATTAAGACAATTAGGGAGATTTAAATGTGGACTGTATATTACCTAACACTATATCCATGTTAAATTTCCTGAGCAGGTTGTTTTGTGATTATGTCCCAGACCTTAGGAGTCAGAACTTAGGGGTAAAGGGCCATGATATCGAATTTGATCAAGTGCTCTTACTGGTAAACCTAGCAGAAGGGTATACAGGCATTCATTGTATTATTATTTCAACTTTTCTGTACAATTGAATTCTCTATAATGAAAAATTGAAAAAACTCCCACTTTTTATAGTTGCCACAAAAGTAAAACATTTTTATTGTGTAAAATTAAAAACTTGGTAAAGAAAAAATTGAAGAATATAAATATATAATCCTACAACCGAAAGCACTGGTTTTAAAAAAATCTAAACTGCTATGCACAGATAGAAATAGATATTACATCGTCATCCTGTAATACATTGTGTACATGTGCATATGTGACTCAAACAAAAGTTTCATAAAATTATAGCTGTCTTTGCTATGTTCACTGCCTTTTATACGTCCGTCCAATTTCTTTTTTCTTTTCGCCGCACTATGTGGCATGCAGGATCTTAGTTCCCTGACCAGGGATCGAACTGGTGCCCCCTGCAGTGGAAACACGGAGTCCTAACCACTGGACCACGTGGAAATTCCCTCCATTCAATTTCTTAAAAAAATGCTTGCTTGATTTACAAACCCACTAGGCACCGATAGTTTAAAACACATGACCTAGAATAAGTTACTGTTAGGTGATAGGGGTCCTGGACCCAGGGTCACCCTCCACAATCTTCCACTCCCGGTTCTATTATTTGAGGTCTTCCTGGGCATCCCAGGATAATACAGGACAGAAAACCAGTCTGCTTTGCAAGATCTTGGGGTATTTTCCTGACTTCATGATGCCCAGAGGCAGTGCATCTCCAGGTGGGCTTGGCTGCCCTCCAGTGTACCAACCTTCACAAAATCTCACGGAAACAAAGTCCCCTCCAGATGGCAACGTCTTCCCTCCCCTCCACTTCCTGCCAGTCTCACCCAAACAACCCACATCTCTTTATAGGTCGATGGCACCTTGGCAGGAGACACCAGGGAAATGAGCCAGCATAATCCATTCTTCAGGTCAGAGGTGTTTGTGGCCATGGATCGAATTTGGTGATTTCCATAGGACTTGGAGAGTCAGAACTTGAAAGCTGGACCAGGGTGTTTCTCATTTCTTAGTGTCCTGGTACTGCTCAGAGCTATACAACATCCTTGAAATATCCAGCATCAAAAGAAGTGGTAGAATATCAAGATTACATAAATGCTACATGGCAAATATGGGAAGGATGGCTGATCCCAGCTCAATACCTAACAGTAGCCCAAGCACGGAGGAGGCTAGCCTTCTTCCTGCCCCTCTTTCTGTTTTCCTTTTCTTTCTTTCTTCCTCCCTCCCTCCCTCCTTTCTTTCTTTCTTTCCTTTTCTTTCTTTCTCTTTCCTTCTTTCCTTTTCTTTCTTTCTTTCTTTCTCTCTCTCTCTTTCTTTCTTTCTTCTTTCTTTTTCTTTCTTTCTCTTCCTTCCTTCCTTCCTTTCAGAAAATAGCTTTGTATCTTTCACTTCTTTCACTGCGACATTCAATGCATTTCAATATAATTACTTGCCTTTTCTGCTAATGGTGTAGGTTTGGGGAGGGTAAAGACTGTGTGAAATTTTTTCCCCCTCTGCATTCTTAAAACTTAGCACAGAGTCAATAGTTATTTGTTAAATGAATGAATGAATGAATCTTGGGTGTAGTGACCCAGCTCCAAGGATATATAAAGAAACACAGGCCATCAGGGAGCTTTTGAAGCACCGGCCAGTAGAACACAGTGGAGAGAGGTGCAAACTCAACATTCAGGGACTGAAGACCCTCAAGGCCAGTTCATTCCCACTTCATTTGTGGGCCCCGCAGATGTTTGCTCAACAGTGACACTTGGATGGACAGCAGACTCTCAGAAGTAAACACTGGTCCTAGCTTTCTCCATCACAGTCCTGACTCTACTCCAAACTCTGGACTTTTTAAATAGGTACTGTAAGAATTGGTTGATGCTATGGAATAAACTGTGTTGTTAATTGATGGTTAAAACAATAGCACATACACACACACGCACGTGCACACACACACATACACAGAGTCCACAGAACTATGAATAACCAGTCTATTTGTCTCCTTCAAAGGACCTTGAAGCCTTCTGGTTATGGTGACCTGAAGAAGTGGGCAAATCCTCTTGGCGAAAAGCAGGTGTGAAACTGGACAGATTGATCAGATAAGCCATTTCAGGTCCCAGCTGCATGATCCATGTTTCAAATTCCCCTTTCTTCTTCCTCCTTGCCTTCCCCCTTCTCTCTCCCTCTAACCGAACCCCTTCCTTTGACAAGTATTTATTGAGAGCCAGGCCAATCTGGATGGGAAAACCATTAAAACATGATCACACAAGTAAATGTATTATGAACAACTGTGATAACAGCTACGAAGGAAAACTACTTCTGATACCCTTGAGGACCCCAGTCAATCTCCTACTTCACAAAGAACCTGTGTTCAAGTGACATCATGACTTCTCAGGGATGACTTGTTGGGAAGCCGAAGTTCTCGGGGGGCCTCTGTCAGTGAATTTCGGAGGACGCATGTCGTGGGTAAGAGGAAACTTTGGAGATAGATTGTTGCGCACCTATTAGCTTTGTGACCTTGGCTAAGCTTCTCCTCCTCATCTGGGATGATCCTAAACTGGGATAATATCATCCACCTAATAGAATTGTGGAGAGGAGAAAATGAGGTAATTCAGGGAAGTGCTCAGACAAGCGCCTAGAGTGTAGTCAGCACCCAGTAAATCCTGGGTGGACTGGAAGGGTCTTAGAGCACATGACCAAGGAGTGGTGTGGCAGTGGGGTAGCAGGCAGGGGACAACTTAGACAACAGCAGTGGTACTGACTTTCTCAGCAGTGCCCCTGTGATAAGACTCTGCCTACAGACAGTGAACCAGGTGGAATATTCAGAGGCAGGGAGCGTGATGGGCCCAGAGCCAAGGGAGGAAAAGCCATCGAGATGCTGCCGGCCATGCTGGGCTGGGCTACGTGCATGAAGAGCGTCAACAGGGCTTTGCACTTGGTAGGAGGTGAGGACAGAGTTAGCCTGCAGAAAGCCAGCAGTGAGGTGGTGAGACCATGGGGGGTGAACACCTCCTGCCAGAGGAAAATCTGGTCAAAGAATGGTGGTCAGTAGCTTAAGGGGACAGTGGCAATCCGGATGGAGACAGGAGGACACATTTCAGATGGGGATAGTAAAGAGGAGGGTCTGTGGAGTTTGGAGACCAGGAGGCCGCCATCAGCATGGTTTTGCTGGTGATACTCTATCAGGGTTGCTGCCTGGAGTATGTGTTGGCGGAAAGGTTAGGAGTCATTACACTGACCATGGAGACTAATTGAAGTTCAAGGACGGGAGGAGGCAGCAAGACCGGGAGAACCTGGAGGGGCCAAAGTGGCCAGCAGACTTAAAGAGCAGAAGAGAGAAAGCTTTAGAGAGCTGCGGGGGGAGGGTGCTGAGGCTTCCTCAGCACAGGAGGGCCTGGAGGGAGTGAAGATTCAACCAGCTGTGTGGCCGGCACGATGCCCACCATGCTAGGTGTTCAATAAGGTTGACAGTGCAATGAAGAACCCTCAGACGGGCTAGGGAACGTGCATCTTGTTATTCCCATTTTTCAGATGATCAGAGACGCTTAGTGTTTTACGTAAGGTCACACAGCCAGACAGTGGGAGGGCCAAGACTCAAACTTGGGGCTCCAGGGTCCTGGCCTGGGACTCTTTGCTTTCAGCACAATGCTGCCCTCTTAGGATTTGTTGTCTGGCCCCCTGACTCAGGGCCAACCTCCTGTCCCCCTGACAGACTATGGGAAGGCAGGAGGGTGCTGTGCAAAGGAATTTTCAGTTCAGATCCTACTTTTCCACTTGTAAGTTGTGTGGTCTGGGCAAACGTTTTACCTCTTTGAACCTCGTTGTCTCCTCTGTCCAATGGGGGTGATTCAGCCTTTACCCAGCTGTATCTGGGCCAACCAGCTAGAACGTAAGCTCCGTGAGGGCCGGGCCTTTTGTCTGCTTTTTTCACTACTGGATGTCCAGCACTGGCGCCTAGAACAGGGCCTTGAAGAATGCAGTGCCCCATACTTAGGGCTGTTATTCCCAAATATGACCACAAGATGGCAGCAAAGGAGAGCGGGTCCCAAGACAAGGCTGTCACAGTTCTCAGGACTCCTACACACTTCCAGACACCAGGTCTCCCTGCATTAGGACATGGAGGGCTCTCATTGTTTCCTGAGCTTCCCTGACTGTGGGCCGTGCAGATCCCAATTACTTAGCGCCTTTGAAGTGGCCCGCTGCTGCTCAGGTGTGAAGGGACAGCACATTCCATGGGATGCTCTCCGACTGTGGTCTAGCAGAGCCGTGTAAACTACAAAGAAGGGCACTGGATTGGATCTTGAGTCTTAAATGGTGCCCCCTGGGGCATTGGGGTGGGGGATGAGGAATCAGAGTGGGGTGTGGCTTAGATGCCTGGATTGGGAATGTCTAAAGGTATCATCACCTAAACAACAGTTGATGAGGAATCTTTACACCGTCATCTCATTTTGAGACTGGTGTTATGGTTATGGCTGGCGCCTTCAGGTTATATCTCAAATATTTCCTTCTCAGAGATGTTTCCCCTCATTGAAAGTAGCCCCCACTTTGTATCACACTTTTTCAAAGCACTTACCGCCATCAGAAGTAATTTTGTCTCTGTTTTGTAAGTTGCTTTTGTGTGCCTGTGGTTCTCCACTCACCAGGATGTTTAGGACAGTGTCAGAGGGGATTCTAGAAGTGGAGCTATGCCTGGCATACAGGCGAGTGCTCAGACAAGAACTGATGAACGTGGAACAAATTGCACCCCCTGTGTAGCTGTCCCTCTCATGACATCCTGAACTTTTCCTATGATGCATGGATCACACAGTTTTTGGGGGATTTATCTCTTGTTCTGCTCCCCAGGGGTTGCAAGCTCAAGGAGGGAAGGACCACATCCCACGTTCAGTGCCCTGTCCCTGGTGTCTTGCACAGTCCCTGGCACCTGAGGTGACCAGAAAACATTTAGTGGTGGCTTTCTACCCAGGATCACATTGAATTGACACGCCAGCCTCGTGAGGGACAGATACCTATGCCCTTTCTACGTGTCGGGGAGACCGAGGCTCAGAGAGATGAAATAACTGTCCCACCAGGCATTGCAGCTTAGAAGAGGTGGAGGCAGCCTTTGAACTTGGAACTCTACTACCTCTGAATGCAGACATGACCTGAGAAGGAGAATTTTGACTTTTGCTGCTCGTTCTCTCTCTCTTCTTAGTTCCTTTTACTGAGTCTCTTAACCTCACCTCAATCCTCTTATCTGCAATCGGCTTCCAAAGAGGATTCAAATCACCTTGTCTTGCAGGCAGGTGCATCAAGATCCCCGCAGTCCCTGTAATTGGTAGTTATACGGGTACTTGAAATAGCCTTCCTCTGCTGCCTGCTCTCTCTCTGTCTGTTGTTCTGGGCTCTGCAGAAGTGCTCAGCACTTCCAGTACGGCTGGATTCTGCCGTACATGCTGTAAAAAGGCGAGGGCTCTGCCCCAGGCTTTCCTGTTCCCTGCTGATCACCCACCTCCTCTCCTCCAGGAGCTTAGCCTTGGGTGGCAAATCCCGGCCTCCCTTCCTGCACTGGATTTGAGGCTAATGGCATTTCTTCTGCCGGCTTTGGAGGTGTGCCCGGCGGCCCCCATGCTGCTCTCTGCAGCCTGCCTGCCCTGCCCTCACTGCAACAGACGGAGAAAATAAATGAAAGTGAGGTGAGTGGAGAGGAAACCTAGTGAGCGGGAGAGGGACTGGAATCCAAGACGGAGGCCTGAGCTAAATGGAGCTGTGGGATCTTTAAGCCACAAAGAAGATCAACAGCAAAGCAAAGGGTAACAGACCAGGGGCCATCTTTGAAATCCAAGATTTTATCTAAAGGCGGTGTTGGCTGTGGGTTCTGAAGGAGTGAAACGGAGCAGGACCCTGTGGGGCTCCTGGGAAATAGGCTTCACTCAGCCTCCATGACCTTCCCTGAGTTCCAACTAGCAGGTTCAAACCTTGTAATCAGGGAAGGGAGGGGATGCAGAGACAAGGGAGGAACAGTCAAGAAACAATAGTGCAGCCTTGGGGCAGGGTCCTGGTTCCCCCTCAAGGATACACATAACAACACCTTTGAGCTGTTTTGCAGACACTGAAACCCTCACCAGGTGGGAGAAGTTAACTGTCAGCTGCCCACAAGCACGCAGACCCCAGACCGGGTGGAACCGGAAGGTTGATGATGCTGACTCCCACTACCTCCCCACCAACCAATCAGAAGAGTGTCCACGAGCTGATCAAGCCCTCTTTGAGCCATTACTACAAAACTCCTCACTACCCCCTCCAGGTTGGGCCACACAGTTTTGAGGGCATTAGCCCACTGTGGCCCCCTTTTCCTGGCAAAGCTGTTAGGAGAAGAACACTGACTGAAACCGCCCGCCCTGGCCAGGCACGACAGTAACCACTTACATGGCTTATCTTACAACAGGAGGTCCTGGTAAGGAGCATGGAACTAACAAGCCACCACCAACCGGAAGAATTTGGGAAAAGTCAAAAGGAGACACCAGTCCACATGTACTACCAACCTCCCAGCATCCTCCTCGCTGGAATCCATCTTGGCTGAGCAATGCACGTGCCACCAGAAAGGACCCTCAGTCAGAATGATTGGCCAGAGACAACCCGTAAACTCACCCAATTACCATAAAACCCGAGACTGTGAGCCACGTGGCAGAGCCGTCCTCCTGGCATCCCTCACCCTCCTGCTCTACCCCCAGGCGCCCCTTCCCAATAAAGTCTCTTGCTTTGTCAGCACGTGTGTCTCCTTGGACAATTCATTTCCGAGTGTTAGACAGGACCCCACTCTCGGGCTGTGGAAGGGGTTTCCCCTTCCTGCAACAAAGCAACAAAGCTATTCTTTTCTACTTCACCCAGAACTGTCTCCAAGATTTAATTCAGTGTCGGGGTACAGAGGCTGGATTCGGCTTCCGGAGGACACTCACGGAGGACTCTGAGCCCGGGGTGGGGATGGTATCTACATTCTTTTCACAGCCCTCCCACCCTCTTGCCCAGGATGCCCTCTTGGAAGACTTTTTGGGTCCATTTTGTTACCCGTACCAATGGAAGACTGTGGTGGATGGCGTGGAACACACTTCCAGAGGAGGCAGGGCTGGATGGAAGAGGTGGGTAAACAGGGGTCAGGGGCCAAGTGTGGAAGGGCTTTCTGGGGAGTTTGGGCCTCTGAGCAGGCAGACCTGGACCCTGCTCGTGTACATCTTCCTTCCTGTGTTCGCTTAGGGGTTCATTCATTCAACAAATGATTTTGAAGACCTACTGTGGCTAGTCATGGCATCAGCCACAGTGTTAGAAGCCAGAATGAGGCATGGTCCTGATGCAGAGGGCTCACATCTGACACGGAAGCCTGAGATGCCATCGATTGATTATTTGGGCTCTGCGTCTCTTTCCTTCACTGAATCTGTTCCTCTAGGAGGCCTGGATGCTACTGGCCTTGAAGTTGGCCAATAACAATATTTTAGGAGGTTGGATTCTCTGGAAGAGATACAGATCCCTTCTATTTAAACAACAGGGGCTCAGGGCATTGCGTTTTAAACTATTAACGGGAACTGTGATCTCATCTGTAATTAGCATATGAGGAAGTCATAGATAATTAGTAGTTTATTATAAAGTGTGGTAAAGTGTGAGCGCACACTCCTGGGGCAGGGGGCGGGAGAGGCAGGGCACCAAGACACAGTGTGTGGTGGGGCAACTGGGGCGACAGCACTGGCATGCTGGTTGTCGATCGTCAACTTGGCATCACTGTCACCCTTTCCTAATTTAGGCCCCCTCTGAATCACAGAGAAGCCAAGAACTGCATCCTAGAATCCCCTTCCCCATGTAGTTCTGGGCTATAGTTTTCCAAGGTGCAATGGGTTGGAGGGATTTTACATCTACTCAAGGAAAAATATAGGACTCGAGGTGGCTGTAACATGTGCACAAGTTTTGTTTGGACAACATGTTGCTAGATTTGCAATGCAGTGCACCTGGCTCCAAAGGCCACACACTTAACCACTGGATGACATAGTGTTGTTGGATTCTGGGCAAGTGGGCTTAAGGTCAGAGAGCTATTATGGATGGAGGAACCAGCCTATTCACTGCAGGATCTCAATCAAGGATAACTTTGTAGTTCCTGTGTGTATGTCTATGTGTGGACTTGTGGTGGTAAGAGCTAGAGATAAGGAGGAAGAAGGAGAAGGGGGCAGGGTGGTTGGAGAACCAGCTAGATGTGCCTGGGCCAAGCTGGGAATTAAGGAGTTGCTCTCACCCTGGCTGGGGCCACAGGAAGGTAGAGGAAGAGAAGATGAGCTTCTTTACAGAGAACACTGGACTTTTAGCTCATGGCACAGCCAGGTGGGGTTGACTTGGAACCTGTTAGATATTTGGTTTCCCAGTTCAGGAGAGAGGTCTGGGCTTACCTTTAGAATCATCAGCAGAGATGGTGGCTGATGTCATGGGAAGAAGTCTAACGGATTGTGTACCGGAAGGCAGCTTAAGGTGGAGACATCAGAAAACTGACTGAAGTCTTACCCAGTAGGGAAGCAGCTACGGAGAGCAAGGGAGGTGAACGTCCCATGAAGGAGGGAGTGGTGGGCTGGGCCACGTACTCCAGAAAGGTCCAGCGTTATGACTGCATCTTCACTTTGGATCTTTCCCCCGCCCTCCAACTCACACATCCAGGGGTGCCACAGGCATCTCAACTTGACCTGTCCCAAAGCAAACCTGGGATCTTCCCCCAGTCTCGCTTCTCCCAGTGTCATCAACGTATCAGTAATCCATCCAGGTCTTCAGGCCTCAAAACCTGGAATCATCCTGGCCCCTTCTCTTCCATACCTTGCATCCAATCCATCATCAAATATGGTGAGCTTCTGCCCTTGCCACCCCATCGTTGTATCACAACATGGCAGACATTTCTGCAAAAATATAAGTCTGAGCATGAGCCCCTTCTGCCCCAAAGCCTTGAGTGGTTGTCCGTCTCATTCAGGGGAAAGCCCGTGACGCTGAGAGTTCAGCCAAGGGCTAGAGGACGTGGTGAGGGGAGCCAGTCTCTTTGAGGTCCGGCTGCTGAGGGATTTGTTTCAAATCTCTGTATATGCCTAGATCCCTCTTCTCCCCACCCATGCCTTTGTTAAAACAATTTATCAACCCCAAGTACAGGTCATCTGAACAAAATGGGATTTATTCCTTTGAACCAAGAAGACCTTATTTCATCTGGAATTTGATAAGGGTCCCGGGAGAGGAGTCCCAGCTTGCGGCATCTTCTGTGGACAGTCGGGGTCTCCTTTGCTGTGTCCGCATACTCATCAGAACCCTTCCCGCAGCCCCCAAGAGAAGGCACTTCCCTCAGACGCTGGTGTCCAAGGGAAGGTGTCTCAAGGGTCGATAACCTGGGCAGCTTCAATAGTTTCTTTGTTTGGGTTAGTATGGTCATTTTTGCAGGAGAGTAAGCTGTCACTCAGGAGGACCTTTGATCAGCTGATCTCTGGTTGCCTATGCGTGTAACACACTGCTTCTCTAGTTGCTAACAATCTCTATCCCCCTGGGATGGCAAAGGGGGCTAATGGTGGGACTTCAGGTGTTAGGGAAAGTCTGAGGTTTGCTGCTGCCATTTGTAATAGCCATGAGTTTTATATATGAGTGTAGGAGGGAAGGAATAAAGACAACCAACAAGAAAGGTTTTTCAAGGAACAACATTTCTTTATTTTTCTTCTATTGTTGAAGTGTTTCTTTGGATTGGGAACCAGGACCACTTTTCTGGTTAAAAAGGAAGCATGAATGTGCGCTCACAGTGCTTTGGGGTGGCAGATTCCGTGTGTGTGTGTGTGTGTGTGTGTGTGTGTGTGTGTGTGTGTTGAGAATTCAGAAGGGGCTGTGTTTTGTGTTGGGTCCCAGCAGAATGGAGATGGGATGTGGAGAGTGGGAGCCAGAAGCAGAGTTAGTGAGGGACCTGGTGGTTGGCAGGCAGCATGGACTTTCCACGGGGATTTGAGCCAATCGCATTCAGGCCCATGGGGCAGGGACGACCTAAGTGACCTCCCGGTTATAGGGCGGTCTTATTTACAGTGAGCAAAGGAATAGAGGTCAGAGCACCCAGATGGAGTCGAAAGGGCCTGAGACAAGGAATTATCTTCTCAGCATTCCAGCTCTCATTCTGCATCCGGTTGCTGAATCTTGGCCAAATGTGTCCCCTTCTTTGGCTTTAGTTTTTTATTTGTAAAATCAAGACTTTGGACCATGCTCTTTAACCTCTTTTCAGCTTAACACTCAATTTTTAGATAGAGTTTTTTAAAAATTTATTCTTATTAATTTTTATGAGCCTCGGTTTCCTGAGGAATTGGGAAAATAATATCTCTCCCTGAGCATTTTTATGAAGATCAAATCAAATCATATTTGGAAATGGACTTTGCAAACTGTAAAGTACTCTGAAAACATTAGTTTTCATAACCATTATGGTTATGATAATGTCAAGATAGGGGATTAGTGTATTACAAAAAGACTATGTTTGAAATGATTATTTCCAAACAGAAACTGTTTGCATTTCAGTCACACTGTCTGTTTTATAAAAGATAAAGACAAATGCACAGAGTCGACTCAGAACAGTTAGGATGCTTGCTCAGAGAATGGCGAAGTTATCTTCCCGGGGTGGGAGGGGGCAGGAGCGTGGCTGACGTGCAGTTAATAATTGAAGTAGGCACAGGGTGTCATTCTGCAGGGCACCCTGCCCCCTGGTAACTCATCAATAAAATATTGGGTTCAGTTGTGTGGAGCCCACAGCTAATCTGAGAGAAACATTCTCACTTGGAAAAGCTGGTTGGCATGGGAGCCAGAGTGTCAGAAAAGCCTGTGGGTTTGGAATAAAAATGCCATGGAAAGAAATGAGTTTCCAATACCCCTTCTCTTACTGCGTCCGAAAGGACAGCCCTGAACTCAGGTCAGCAGCAGTTATTGTGGCCCCGGAAAAATTCCACCCATGGGGGGAGCTCCTGCATGCTGCCTGGCGGCCCCCCCGCCAACCCCACCACTGCCCTGCAAGATGGCCACCTCCATCCCAGGAGTGGTCCAGACCCTCTGACTCAGGGTTGAATCTCCAAGGGTCCGGTGAGACCTTTTGCAGCCCTTTAAGTAAACCCACATGCTTTACTTTTTCTTAATTATCATTTTTCATTCTAAAAGGAACACCTACTCATTAAAGAAAATTTTGCAAATATAGACAAGCAAGATGACGTCAAGACAAGGTAACATGGCAAATGTCCACTATTTCAATAAAATCACTGCATGTTTAATAATAACGACAAGCAACATCGGAGTGCAGCAGAGGGCCAGGATGCTGAGGGTTTTAGATGCATCTTCATGGCATCTGTTATCTTCACGGCAGCCTTACCTGGTGGCATGGATGACAATCTTGCAACTACACTCCAAAACCCAAAATGGTGTAGAAGCTGAAGTTTGTTTTATAACTAATCTGGGGGCTAAACATGACCTGAAATGAGTCCTATTTATAGCCTTTAGTTATGCGAATATTCATGTATTGTTACAACATTATTAATGGGCTTAATTGTTGAGCACTGCCTCAGACCCCTCTGGGATGTTTTCTAGTATTTGGCATGTTTACCATATTTCTCAAATCTGAACACTTCAGAATTCCAAATCACAGTTGCTTCCTTTGCTATCTCCCTGTAGCTGGTGAAGAATCTGAGGGGCAGAGTTCATGCCACTTGTCTGACATCAAACAGCTGACGAGTAGTAGAGACAGGATTCAAACCCAGGTCCACGCACCTCAAGGAACTGCCCTCGTAACACTCAGCCCAGTACTTCTCAGCCTTTCCCATATCCCAACATACACAGAGAAGGATAACAGTTGTTTGACCCACTGTGGGGAGAAGATGAGGCTGCTTGGGACCAGGGCAAGTGGTCCAGGCTGTCTCGATGGCAGCTGCTGCACCAGAGTCCTGCAGTCCTCACCCGTTTACACAGCCTGCAGCCCGCTGGCGGGGAGCCTGCCCAGACTTTCAACTTTCATTTAAAGAATAGGATTCACCCATCACAGGGCTGGGCAGTGATGCTTCAGGGCAGGAGCCTAGAACCAGAATACCTGGGTTTCAATCCCAGTGCCACTATTTTCTGGTTGTAAGAACTTTCCAGGGCAAGTTGCTCAAGCTCTCTGTGCCTCAGTTCCCTCATCTGTAGAATGGGGATGATAACATTGTACTTACTTCCAGCTGAGGGCAGCTACACTCACATGGTCCCTAAAGCAGGAGGGAAGCAGGGAAACTGGTTGCGGGGGGGCGACTCTGAGCTCAAGATGATCCTCCTGGGAATTTCCTGGCGGTCCAGTGGTTAGGACTCGGTGTTCAATCCCTGGTCGGGGAACTAAGACCCCGTCAGCCATGCGGCACGGCCAAAAAAAAAAAAACAGATCCTCCTGACTTTATGGGATGGCGGATTGGGAGGTAGCAGGTCCTCAAATCCAACCCTTGGATGAGTAGGTAGACACCCTTTCCTGTGCTCTAAGAGGGGCTGTGCTTGTCTCATGGGACACTGTGCATTACCCATGCAGGCTGAAAAACAGAAGGTGGGAGCAACCTCGATCAGCACTTAGAAGACGTCAACATTAGGCCAGAATACAGAGCTGTTGAGAAAGCCTCTCTCTTAGACCTGAACATACGTAGACTAAGCCAGCCCCCTATTCTGTGTTTCTCTTTGCATTTCACCACTTGGGCCACTCTACCTTCTGCCAGAGTTTATACTTGACGTTTCTAAGATCAAACCTAAAATGTCACAAGCAGAGTTCAGAGGGGAAAAGGTGAGGTTGGAGCCCCTGGCTGGATTATGCCAGGTTTGTTTCTGAGTTACACCGGGTTCCTGGAAATCACCTGACATTTGGAGCTCTTTGAGCAAATGAGCGGAGTAAACTAAAATGTAGGTAAACAGAAAATCTCTCTCTAATTGCAGGAGGACTGTCTCCCTTTCCTGCCCCCTCCAGCCTTAACCAAGGCCCAAGAAGAGGCGTGCTTCTCGACTATTCAACCACAGGCCAGTTGCCTGCTCCTGTCTCTTGCCCTTTACCCTTTGTAGGCAAACTCTGCACGCCTACTGGGGCCATGAAACGGGCTGGCCTGGGGGGCAGGCACTGAATGCTTTGGGGCTGGGTGTACTGGAGCAGAGGGAGGATGCCCACTCGGTGGGGTTCTTGATGATCTGATGGAGATTCTCGGCACTGCCTTGCCCCCTTGCTCCTCTGCTTGACGGAGCCCTGAATGAAACCACGCCTCCCAGACTCAGGATGGGGTCCCCATCACCTCCATCCATCCCACCCCAAGGCTCAGCATCACTGAATCAGGGTTCTGGGTGAAGCTTCACAGCAACACCCTCATCATTCCGCCCACATTGGCAGCATCCATGGACCAGGGTTTGGCCGGATGCTTCCTCCCTTAAGGTGTGCCCAGCCCAGCCCAGGACCCTAGGACCACATCCTACTTCTAGTCCAGGGACTTTGTCCTGAGTGCTAGTGCAGATGCAGGGACAGCCTCTGCCCCTGGTAGCCCTCTCCCTGGGGTAGGATCCAGCTCATCAGGGCTGGTCTGCGTACTGGAGCCTCTGCTGAAGGGCCCTATGCTCTGGATTAGACCAAAGCCCGACGCCACACATCAAGTTTTCTCTGTTGGATACTGTGCTTTTGCAGCCGGACTGCCTTTACCAAGGCTGGCCTCTTTGCCGTGATGTTTGCCGAGTCCCTGACCCACCTGAGCTCAGCTTCCCCCTCTATCCTGTGGCTCCAGCTCTCGGCATGCCCTGAGCTTTACCTTGTTTAAATGTCCTCAGCAGGTTGGGCTGAGTAAACCTCGAGGCTTTCTCCGAGTCTTCGAAGATAATAATTACCCCTGACATTGGTTGAGGGCTTTGTTTACAGAGGCTTTCACCTGACACCCTCTTCACATTCCACCGGGACCTCCTGTATTTCTTTGACATGAGAACAAAAAGCATTGCAAACATGGCCACTCAAAAGTCAAGTCCCCAGGGGCTTCCCTGGTGGCGCAGTTGTTGAGAGTCCGCCTGCCGATGCAGGGGACATGGGTTTGTGCCCTAGTCCGGGAGGATCCCACATGCCGCGGAGCGGCTGGGCCCGTGAGCCATGGCCGCTGAGCCTGCGCGTCCGGAGCCTGTGCTCCACAACGGTGAGAGGCCCGCGTGCCGCAAAAAAAGAGAAAAAGTCAACTCCCTTTCTGTACTTTGTGCTTCTCAGGAAAGGGTAGTTTCCCTTCTATCACGGGGGTCTCACCTGAGATACCTCAGGTGGGTATTTCCTCCAGAACGTATCTACTGTGGCTTCATTACCTGAAGCTAAGTCTGTTTTAAATGAGCTGTTGTTAAGAGTCAAGAATTTAGATGATGACTAGGATTTCATACTTCTTCCATTACTTAAATCTTGTCCATCCTTCCAACACAGAACTTACCAGAATAGCTTCGTGTTGGCACACATGGGCTTAGACAGGTGTCGATTCTTATGGAAGAGACAGTGCTTTCCTCTCCGTAGTGAACACAGGAAGAATCCATCCCCTAACTTCCCTTCCGGTAAAGTGAGGCCAATGACTGCATTCTGGCTGGTGACAGAGCAGCAATGTAGGCCTGGTACCCAAGACCTCCTGAGTGATCCCCCTTCCTTTCTCTCTCTTCTCTTCAGCTGGCTGGATAGAGAGGATCAAGCAGAGGCATCCAAGTCCCAAGTGCAAGAAGACTAGGTCCCGAGATCATTGCCTGGAAGGCCTCTGCCCCACATGCAATAGGACGTAAACGACAGCTAAATCTCTTATTTTGTTTTAACCACTAAGAATGGGAGTTATTTGTTACAGCACTTTCATTGACCAGTACAGCGCTGAGCCTAGTTCTAAAACTACCTGTAAGGTCTTGGGCAACACTGTTCTGAGCTTTCTCATCCGTATGAAACTTTCCTCGCAGGCTTTGCGGTCAGACGAGAAGAGCTTGGGATGCAGTCTTCCCGGGAAACAGCGTACCTGCCTGCACCAACTTACGCACCTGCTGACTTTCTAACTGTGGCTGCAGCGGATCAAGTGGCCGTGGTCCCACCTCAGGGCGTTTGTACTCGTTAGTCCTTCTGCTTTTGGGTCACTTTTCTCCCAGGTTCCATGGGTTCTTTCCCATCATTTAAGGCTAATCCTTTGCAACGTGTCCTCAAAGACATGGTGCCTCCAGTTCAGGCCGCGCCCTCGGCCTCCAGTTCTTTACCACAATTGTCCTATCACAATTTCTCATTGCATCTACCCCTCTCTGAACGCAGAGTATTTATGTATCGGTTTATAGGAATATTATCTATTAACACTATCCATTAATATTATTGTGTGCCAGGTACATGACAAGCACTCGGTAAATGGCCGTGCTTAATGATGAACCCACTGCATTGAGTCTCTGTGTACAGGTCCCTCTTTCCCAAGGTCAAGGACTAGGTCTTACTTATCTTTGCTTCCCGATAAACCTTATATGGAAGAGATGACCAAGAAATGTCTGTGACGGGAGAGAAACTCAAATCGTGTCTTCGATCTAGTGCATCCAAAGACCAACGAAACCATCCTTGTTCTAAAAAAAATTAAACCTTTTTATTAGTATATTTATTTTATATATAAAAGAAATACAAAAAAAGAAACACAAAGAAAACACTTTTATGGCAACTCGGACTTGTCGGTGCCTTCGGCTTGGGCTCCCGGCTCAGGCCCACTGGGTGTCAGCAAAGTCCGCCGGTTGTAATGGCCCTTGATGATGCCCGTGTTGTTGTTCTCATTCAGCAACTGCTTCTGCCTTTGCCTGTTGAGGGACTGGACGAGGCCCAGGACGACCGCGGCCAAGGAGTACTGCCCGGGCAGTCTTCTCGGCGGCAGGATGAATGGGTTGGGTTGGACTCTTCCCAGGAGAAAGTACGTTTTGATTTTTCCTTCCTGTTCACTGATGCCCTTCACATAGATCTCCCCTCGGTAGTCAAAGGCAAAGCCCTGGTCCTTCAGGATGAGATAGGTCTCCTCTGGGACCTGGATTCTGCCGCTGACTCCCGTGCTGTCCATCCGACTTGCCAGGTTCACGGTTTTGCCCCAAATGTCATACTGTGGCTTCTTAGCGCCGATAACGCCAGCTACCACTGAGCCGTGACTGATGCCTGTGGGTGAACCAGAGAAACAAGAGATGAGAGAAGAGGGACGTCAAGGAAGGGGCCGCTCCCTGCCTGGGACAGTGACCCTTAAACGAAGGATGTGATCTCTGCGGATAAACTGCAGGGTACAGATCCAGCCTCAGTCACTTATTAGATGTGTGATCTGGGTTGGGTACTTAACAGATTTGGACCTCACTTCTCTCATCTGTCAAGTGGAAATAATGAAAGGACGCTGGTATGAGATGATATAGGTAAAGCCACTGGTATATTACCAGAAACCAGTGAGTGCTCGAGAGACAATAATCATTACTCTCACATGGATGCTGACTTGTCTTAACCTGCGGGACGGACAGGGCACTGACGTCGGGATGCTGGGATCGCCGCTTGCCTCTGTGGTCACAGTGCCCTGAGAGCTTGGGCAACACCTTTTCCTTCCCTGTCTTAGTCTACGTCCTCAGCAGCATTCCCTGGGTCTGTGGCCACAGCCTCCTAACACGCCTCCCTGGATCCCTGCTTGTCCTCCCGCAGACCAGACTCCACGCTGCTGCCGGAACCAGAGGGACTCTCTGATGCCGTCTGATCAAGTTACCACCCACTTCAACACCTGCCACAGCTCCTTTTGCCTATGGGCTAAAGCCCCGGCTCCTCAGGTTCACAATCTAGGGCTTCTCAGAGCTGGCTCTTGCCTAACTTGCCAGCCTCATTTTTGTCACCACCCTCTCCCTCCCCTTTGCACCGTCTCCATACTGCACTGCTCGAGTTCCCCTAACCTGCTGGCTTTTCCACCTCTGTGCCTCTGTCCCTGGCTTTCTCTCTGCTTGGACTGTCATTTACCCCCAATTCCACACGTTATTTGGTAGATCACAATTTCAAGACCTCCTTCTTTAGGAAATACAGACTTTTTTTTTTAAAGGAATGACAGTATTCCACTAAACACATTCATGGGCATATATGTCTCCTTTTTCTAGACTAAGGATTTCTCATTCATTCTACAAACATTGACTAGGCATCTACTATAAAGCAGACACTGTTCCAGGTATTGGGGCTATGGTGGGAAAGAAAAAAGACATAGCCCCGGCCCTCATGGAGCTTACCTTCTACTGGGGAGAGACAGAAAATAATTTTAAAAATGCAATATAGTATCAGTGAATGATAAAGGTGATAAAGAAAAACCAATCAGGTTAAAGGGATAGAAAAATAGAGGAGGGTGTATTTTGGAGTAGGGTGGTTAGGAAAGGCTTTTCTGAGCAGAGATCTAGAGAAAGTGATAGTATAAGCCATGCAGATATCTGGGTTAGATCATTCCAGGCAGAGGGAAAAGCAAGACACACACACACACACACACACACACACACACACACACACACACACACGTATAAGATAGAACTGTGAACTTCGAGAAACAGCTCTTGCAGAATGCATGGGAATCACAAGGATGGACATTGCCCTAAAATTTGCAGAGCCCTTCCATAACCACTAGCCCATTCACTCTTTTCTTACTACTATGAGGTAGGCAGGGGAGGTAATAATATAACTCCCAGTTCACACATGAGGAAACTGACACTCAGAGGGGTTTAAACGACTTGCCCAAAGTCATAGAGCTGGTTACAGCAGACCCAAAACACAAAGTGAAAGGCCCAATCCCATTGGGAACATGATTTTCTAACCTCTGAACTATGCCAGGAGAATAATGTATCACACCAAGGGTTGGCCTTAATTCCAGCAACATCTCCTGAAATTACACAGCCTTTGTTCAAGGTTATAGTTCTGCTTTTTATTCCCAGTTCAATCATGTATTCAATGATTTCAGAAAGGACATGTAGGGTTGTTGGAAGATCTGGAAACAAGCCCTGAACACCCCATCCATAGATCAAAATATAAAAATACCACTTATTTATTCCAGTGAACAAAGGCATGTGACATTCCTTAGATCTGACAAGTCAGGCATGGGTATTACCTGACCCTTTATACTTGAAAGCTGCTAAGGGAGAACCAAGAAAGTAAAATGGCATGCCAGCCAGAGGATACCTAAGACATGAGGACGGCTGTAACATTTGTTTTAGGCCGCACGCTGGCCGCCAGAATGTCACTGGTCTCAGTCGGGGAATCCTGGAGTCGCTGCCAGGTTGACCATTTGGTTGTGTGATTGTAGGCCAGTTACTCCCCTTCTCTGGGCCTGACTTTTCCCATCTGTAAAATGTGAATGTGGACTAGAGCAGGGGCTTTCAGACTATGCTTTAGGAGGCCCCCTCCAGACTCCGCAGAGATGCTGAAGAAATTAACAAGTTATACAAACTGTAGGTGTCTATTATCACATAGCCGTGACTGTTGTCATTTTGCACAAGGGAGTCCCTAAGCCCAAAGAAGGATGAGCTGTGTGGCCGAGTGAAGAGCTATAAAGCTAACTGCCTGTCCCTGGCTCAAGTCAGCATGTGACATCCCCAGGAACAGAATCCTCCTTTTGGCTCAGGGTGTTATCCAGGAGAACGGGAGAGTAACGCATTGACCTCCAGTGTCTGGTGACGTAGAAGACGGGAGGAAATGATTGATTAGACAGCTACCTCTCTCATCAGGGCCTTGTGTGGGTGGGATTCTGGACAAGTTGGAGGAGAGGTGGCTGTGGTCTGTCAGTTGCTTGGTGTTTCTGCCCACAGGCCAAAATCCTTCCACTGCTTCCAGCGTCTTGAGTGAGAGGAAGCCCAGACAGGCCTGTCCTTGGCCAGGTCACAGGCATTTTGTGGGAAAAAGCTCCCCTGGCTTGATGCCCAGGGCACGGGAGGGCTCGATAGAGCAAGGCCAGACAGCTCGGTGGGTCCCCGAGGTGCCACACTTCCAGCTGCTACTCACCAATCCGGAGCTCAAAATTGTTGAAAGAATGCTTGTTGATCTCCTGTATGCTTTCGGTCAGGGCGAGAGAGAAGTCGGCCAGGGCACACAGATGTTCCCACTTATCTTCACATTGCTGTAGCAAACATGAGACAAGAGGTCATTCGACGGGGCAAACAGGAGCATTGCTGCAGTAGGGGTCTGGTCTGTGTCCTACCTCACCCACACATACCTTCAAGGGAAGTGAGCAGGTGTGTGAGCCCTGTCCACCTAAGTCAGTGTCCAAAAACACAGGGTACCAGGAAATTTGTTTCAGAGAGTGTAATATGTGTGACTCTCAGATTCCATTCCCCACCCCTACCCTTGTCTGTTCAAGTTGATGCTGTTCACTTGTATGTGTGTGTGTGTGTGTACACACCCTTATGTTCATATATGTGAAGTTTCCAATCTAGGAACCATGTCTATTTCCTTTGAAGTACTCACAGTGTCTGTTTAATAGATGTTTCACATAGACATTTGCTCTCTGAACCTCAGTTTCCTCATCTATATAATGGGGATAAGCATAGTTGCCCTGCCTACCTCATGAGGACTGAATGAGATTGTGTATGTGAAAGAATTCTGTGCCCCTCTAGAGCAGAGGTTGGCAGTCAGTAAATGGCCAGATAGCAAGTGTTTTAGGCTTTGTGGGCCGTGTGGTCTTTGTCATGACTACCCAACACTGCCATGTTAGCCAGAAAGGAGCCATAGACAAAATATAAATGAGTGCATGTGGCTGTGTTCCAATAAAACTTTATTTACGAAAACAGATGGTGGATACATCAGATCACCAATATAGCAGTTGGGATGATGGTCTATCAGTATTTCCAAACTGAAGTCATTTTTTAATCAATAATTCTAATGCTAGCATCCAGTGTTTACACGTTCTACCGTTGCCACCACATCAAACTAAAACCTATACAATGTTAATTATTTACATTTAAATTTGTTTGTGGAGGTGGTGATGCTGGGGAGAAAACACTTAAATTTTTCATTAGAAGCTCCTAAGTCAATGAGGCCTTGAAATACAATATTTGATATATGTTTGTGTATTTGTGTCTTGGGGGTATAATTTTAAATTATAACTACAGTATATACTCTGGTTTAATTATACTTCATTAAATTATTTATATGAAAGAATCATATCTAGGTTTCAAAGATTCACTTATATATTCCTTGACAGCTACTGGCCCAGTACAAAATCCATGTTTTCTATATTCACCCACACTGTTGCCAGCTGTACCTAACAGTTCCTTTTTTCAAAAAATGTATTTTATTAAAAAAGTTCTTTTTAACATCTTTATTGGAGTATAATGGCTTTGCATTATTGTTAGTTTCTGCTTTATAACAAAGTGAATCAGCTATACATATACATATATCCCCATATCCCCTCCCTCTTGCGTCTCCCTCCCTCCCACCCTCCCTATCCCACCCCTCTAGGTGGTCACAAAGCACCGAGCTGATCTCCCTGTGCTATGCGGCTGCTTCCCACTAGCTCTCTATTTTACATTTGGTAGTGTATATATGTCCATGCCACTCTCTCACTTCATCCCAGCTTA